TGCCTGTAATCCCAGCTACTCAGGAGGCTGAGGCAGGAGAATTGCCTGAACCCAGGAGGCGGAGGTTGCGGTGAGCCGAGATCGCGCCATTGCACTCCAGCCTGGGTAACAAGAGCGAAACTCCGTCTCAAAAAAACAAAACAAAAAAGTCAAACAAATATCCAATTTCTCCTTCAGACTCTGACGTACCTTAACAAAAGCAGAGTTTCAATTGCCTGCATCTCCTTTAGGAGCTGTGATATAATGTAGGTAAAAATCTTGCTTTAATTCCATTTACCCACTGTGCTATAAATAAGCAGAAGCAAATTTTTTTAAAGGCTCTTGGAGAGGTTTTAAAAATCTGAACTAATTTAGCAACTGCTGCTGCACTCAGTTTTTGGCAGTTTCCAAACATCCATTATCATGTAAGGATAAATCCTCCTAAACCAGAAAAATGTTTCCTACTTGGAAAAGGCATAAGAAAATACATTTACCACTTCCCCATTTACTAGTCTTACATACCCCAGCTCCAGTTAGAACTATAATTTTTTTGCACTCTTGCAGTAATTTCACAGCATCTTCGATTGTATTAATATCTTTTCTTTTTTTCCTTTTTGGTGGTTCTGAAAGGATGTTAATAACAATCTGCCATAGTGTCATATCATCCAATTCAGGTGGAGGAATTGTTTCCGGCAATAAATCTTTAAGAATTGTTCGAGGATCTGTGCCAATCATAAGATGTTGCTGAACAAAAGTATATGGACCTACAATAAGGGGGAAAAGACTTAGATCAAGTCAACTTGTCAAGTAATTCGAAATCTCATTTATTTTCTGAGGTAATGAGTTAGCAATCTGTGAGGGTTTTTTGCAAAGTAAGAAAATGTAATTTAATGGTCTTTCATTCTTAGTACACCCTCATAATTAATGCTATATCCCAATGAGACTAGGAAGATCTAATCAAGAGTTGGGAGACCCCCTTGAGCTCTAAGTACATATTTTAAGAACCTAACAACCAAAATTAAGTTCTTATGGTTAAAATCTAGAAACACACACCATAATAACACTGAAGTATTTACAAAAAGGTTCTACAAGTCAACACAGAAAAGATCATACCAGTCCTAAAAGCCTATACTACTTATCATTAAAACCACACAGGAAAAAGAAATGACAACCTATACATAACTGCCATCTTAATTACTTTTTCGGTAATTTTTCAATTTGATCTTAACTAATCTTTCAAAATAATACATACGATGTTGTTGTTCTGAGAATTAATCATTTTCTTTTCTTTTTTTTTTTTTGGAGACAGAGATTTGATCTTGTTGCCCAGGCTGGAGGGCAATGGCAAAATCTTGGCTCACCTCAACCTCCGACTCCTGGGTTCAATGATTCTTCTGCCTCAGCCTCCTGAATAGTTGGGATTGCAGTCATGAACCACCATGCCCGCCTAAGTTTGCATTTTTGGTAGAGACAGGGTTTCTCCATGTTGGTCAGGCTAGCCTCAAACTCCTGACCTCAGGTGATCTACCTGCCTCAGTCTCCCGAAGTGCTGGGATTACAGACATGAGCCACCTCCATCTCTCTTTATGTCCCATCTGTGACAAGTCTTGCTTCTCCACTTCTCAGTGAGTATCCATCAGCTGCTGCCTCACCACCCCACCACGGTCACCTCATGTCCTGTAACAGTCCCTCTGAGCCCCTGTCACTCCCATTCCACTAGACCCCACAGCACAGTGAATTTGACAACTTTCTGGGCTAGGATTACTGTTTCCATTTTACAGATGAGGAGACAGGCTCAGAGATTCAGTGGTAAAACTGGAATCTTACTTGCTCCAGCCTGAACTATGAGGAACTGAACTATATTCTCCTGTCTAGCAGAATTCCATCCTAAATACCTATCTACCTCCCCCCACCCCACCCCACTGCCTATCAGACCTTAACTATCTAGTCTGGCTACTCTAACCTCCTCCCACCACCCTGGACAGCCAGGCCCTTCCCAGCTTCCCTCCACCAGTCAGGGATGGGAGAACTCACTATGGCCCTGGCACCTTGGAGCCTTTGCTGATGCTGGAATCCTTTTCCCCTCCCTCCACTTCATGGACCTATCCATCTCCACGACTCAAATGTTCCCTTGTTTACACCAATGCCTAAGTGTCCCAAGGGCAGGTAGTTCTTCTGTGTACCCAGTAAACAAACATATGCCCTCACCACCATATAATCAATATCACTGCATTGTGTACATGCAGATGCTCTGCTTTCTTCAACTGAGGCTTCCAAAGAGTGTCCCTCCAATCGGTGGGCACAGGAAGGGAGAGGGAGAGAGTACCTACTCGGGACAGACACAGGGAGGGTGCAGATTGGATTGGCCCCTTCTTCTCTCTACTCCAGCCTAAGTTGTTTTCATGTTAGCTTTCTCCTCCTATGACCCCAAGTCCTGCCCTTTTTCCTGTCTGGGGGGTAGAGATTCCAGCTGGTCTGGGCTCTCTCCCTTTGAGGATTTAACAGTTCTCAATACCGAAGTTATTTAGCGGTCAGTCCTTCGAGCGTGACAGGTCAGATGCTTCCCAGAGAGCCAGGTGGCGGCGGGTGGAGCTGAGTCCCAGACTCCAACCCCACCTCGATACTCGGGTTCTCTGGCCGGGGAGCCAGGGTCTGGGGACACTGTGGAGCCTTTGCGCATGTGCGACCGCACGGATCCCCTTAACCTCCCTCCACCCAGTCCCAGAGCCTGAGAGTCCAGCGGCAGGGCGGGGCCCACAGACCTCCCCACCCCAGTGCCGCTGCTGGTGGTGGGGCGCTGATTCTGTCCAATCTCGGTTTCCCTTCCCTCCCCCAGCCGGGAGTGGGACTCCCGGTCTGGCCCGTTTTGGGCGGCCCCACTCACGGGTCGAACCTCGGCGGGGCAGGAGATGACGGTGCAGAAAGGGCCGGGCAGGGTGGGGGTGGGTGCAGCAGCTGCGGCGGGGGCGGGGCGGCCAGGGCTGCTGGGAATAGGGAGGGTGAGGGTTCTTCCCCGGGCACTGGGAGCCACGCCGCGGAGGCCGCGCGTTGGCCGGGGACGTGCACGTAGTCAGCTTTCCCTCCCCAACCGGGCGCACCGGGAGATGAGGCCGGGAGGGGTCAGTTCGGCCCGCGGCCCCACAAGTCCAGTGCCCAGTCAGGGCCTGCCAATTTCCAGGTGCTTTGCATCTATCCTGTCATCGACCCCTCTTCCCTGCCTGTCACAGAGGAAGCTCAGAGAGGGGTACTGACTCACCCAGGATCACAGAACGCATGCATTGCAGAGCTGAATGTGACCCAGAAGCCCACGTTTCCCAGACATTGCAGTGGCCCAGTGCCAGCCCTGGATCCCGGCCTAGGCAGGGGAGCTAGGCACCGGATCCCCAACCACCTCCACCCTCCCGGGGCTCCTCTATTAAAGACCTAGTATCTGAACGCTTCTACAAATGCAAAATCACCCCCATTCACAACTCCTGTGCTCCCTGGCCGATAGAGAAAAGAGACCAGAAACAGAAAAAAAATGGAATTTATGTGCAGGGCTAATCAGGGTAGTGGAGAGAAGATGATGAGTAGTGGGGGCTTCGCTCACCCCCGCCAGGGGGCGCCAGGAAGCCAAAAAGGGTGTGCAGCCACGGACTGACTCCAGCCCCCTTCAGAGGCCAGGTTCTTAGGGGGAGGGACTGGCTTCCGGGTCCAAGTAGGAGGCGGTCCGGCTCTCAGGGGTGCTGTAAACGGCTAAAGCCCCAGGCAAGCCCAGGGCTGGGCCTCCCAAGGCTGCCTGGACATCCAGCAGGAGTGGCGCCCCCAACGTGGGGTCCTTCCCTAGGAAAAGTGGGGCAGTGTTCACAAGGGAAACGTTCCCCCTCCTTTCTTCAGGGAAGGAGAGCCCTGCCCACCTGCCTTCTGCTCAGTAAGGATGAAACATCCATTCTTAACCTCCCACTCTCACCCAGTGGTGAGGGCATGGGGGGCTCAAGGAACTCTCTGCAGGGCAGTCTGAACTCGGAATTTCCCTGCAAATTTCAGATTGCCCCCTTGCTCAGTCAAGGTAGCTTAGCCCAGTCAAGGCCTTCTTCTAGGTGGGAATCATCACAACCATTACCTGGGCTTGGAGAATTTAATCCCTTGACCAACAGCTCAGGCTCACCCTGCTCTGGAACCAAGGGCTGCATCTGCATGTGAGAACCGCAGGGAGCAGCTGGGGAGGGGATCTAGCAGCTAAGTGGGCAGCTGCAGCAGTCCTCCTGGAGACACGGCTCCAGCTCACAGAGAACAGCCATGGACCAGAGGGCTTGGCTCAGCCATCCTGGTCTCTGCCCTTCCCGACCCACTTCTTACCAAGGACAGCTCCATGTCCAAGTCCATCAGGGTCCATTCTCGCCCTTGGAGACTGGGACCCAGCACCTGAGGAGAGCTCTGGGTCAGTGGTGCCCTCCCCAGGCTCCACAGAGCGTGAGACCCCACCAGGCCTCTTGCCTCTGCTTCAGCAGAAGGGGTACTCACATCTAGAGGCCCTGCAGGCTCCACACTTTCTTGGGGGGGCCGAAGCAGCATCGGAGGCAGCAGACTCTCTGGGCTCCTGTCCCCCCTCTCCAGGCCCAGAGGCCCGCTGTGCACAGAGAAATGCTTTTGGCCTGCAGTGTCCGACCCTCCCCCCATTAAGTTCCCAATGAACCCTGACATCGAGATTTAAATCCCCCAACATTTAGAAAATGATAGGAGAGGCTGGGCACTGTGGCTCACGCCTGTAATCCTAGCACTTTGGGAGGCCGAGGCGGGTGGATCACAAGGTCAAGAGATCAAGACCATCCTGGTCAACATGGTGAAACCCCGTCTCTACTAAAA